ATTGCACAACGGAGATTACAAGCCTTGCATCTTCTGATATCTGGTTATCAGAGGCGACGATGAGAAGGATAGGAAGATGGGTGTGCTTGGAATAGTTAATGTTCTTCGGAAGCCGTGAAGGCACAAAAGTTCGAAGGTTATAGGAACGAACATTTGCGAAGAAGGTTGTGATTCAACGTTTCCAATAGAAAACCTATGTACAAACAAATGTGTAGTCCCGATTGAAACAAAAACAGAAAGAGTTTCTTTAACATTGTAAAGATCTGGAATGAGAACTGCAATATTTCTAAGTGAAAAAACACAGAGAATGTAGCTGGCAATTAAAAAATGTGTAAAAAAGTCGAAAAGTCATATTTATTATGTGTAACAGCAAATCCAAGTGTTGTGAAGCAAGAAAAAACAGTAGAACCTCTTCGAAACGAATATTGATTAAGCACAATTGCAAAAACAAAAAAGGAGACCTTCCTACTCTTTAAATGGCACTAAAATGCTACGATGGCGGTGTCATTAAGAAAGTCCGAATGACAGTAGTCAACCCCCACCAATTACGCGCGATAGAAACTGCTCTCAAACCTGATTTGCAATCCAACGCAGGACACTCCTTAAGAGCAACACCACCCAACCAATAGCCACGAAAGGACTCCGGATTATTAATCCAATCATTATTTACAGATCGTAGGCTAAAACAAACACAAGGTTTACAGAATGTCCTAAAAGGCGCAGGCAAGACACTGTTAAAAAATGGAATGAAAAAATCGCGAAATATTTAAATGTGCATTTTTGGATTTTTTTTGCATTTTGAACACTTAACTAAAGAATTAATATATGAGTAATCTACTTTGATTTAAAGCCATTTAAGAAAACGTTTAAAGAAGTATACGCAAGTGCATTTTAGTTAAAAATAAAAGCGTTATTTAGTTAGGCATAAATACTTGCTATAATCTCCATAATTTCCTTATCAGGCAAGTCAATAAAATCACCTTGAAATTAATGACTTGTGCAATGCGTTAATTTCTATTTAACCGTCAGTTTCGATAAAAGGTCGCGTTGTCTTGCCTTTTTCAGGAC